CCTAACAATAACGTAAATTACGTGTCGCCAAAGAAAACGTACGCAGCTCTCACTCCTGAGCCCCAATAAATAAATAAATAAATAATAAAAATAACAAAAACTTTATAATTCAATTTGATTAATAAAGTTTGTATTATATTTATGCCCATTTGATGCTTCTAAGACTAAGAACCCACATGCTGGTTGTTTTATGTTGATTTTACATAATATTATATAAGAGAATTATAGGGTTGGTGTTATTATTATTATTATTTTTTTTTTTTTTTGTTGACTTTATCGATAATCTTATCTCTCTTATTTTATTTTATTTTTATTTAATTCCACGTCGTTCTTAAATAATAGGAATTTAATCGATAGTAAATATGTAACGACTCAAAATTTTCTACCTAATTTAAGGTCGTTACTGTATACATATCATAAACATTAAATATAGAAATACTTTATTTAAACTTTCATAAAACATAACATTCAGCTTAAAACACAGTCATGAACTTGCGTATTTCGAAAACACCTAAAAAATACACAACGAAAGGCGAAATAAAATAAATAAACGTTTACATTAAAAACATCTTATCCTAATCTAAGTCTAAGTCTTAGTCTCGAGTTGCGATACCGTTGTCAGCCGTATAAAAATGTCTTGTCTTAACTTGAAACAGACTCAGTAAATGACCCACTATTGAGATTAAATGCAAGAACATGCGAATGCAATGACGGGACCTATCATATCTGTCTATTTCTCGTACGGCACTATTCTAACTAATATGAATTTGTTCGATAGTACGACACTATTTTGTTCGAAATCTTATCAAAATGTCATAGGGTGGATTATGTCATCAGTGCTCATGCTGATCTAATTGAACCAACATAAATACATAAATAAATAAATAAATAAAAACTTTATTATTATATTACCACAAATTCATTAAATAAAATAAAGTAAAATAAAAAGCTGTGAAAGCAACTTTTAAGCTTTTGTAGTTTTCCCATAGTTTCTTATTGTTTGTTTGGTGCAATTTTATTTTTTTAGTTTTCCAATAATTTTATTTTAATTTTTAAAAGTAATATAGAAAATATTTGAAGCATTCGTGTGACACGATGATTCGAATAACTCGAATTGTCTAATCCAAACCATAAGGGTTAGTCGAACAATAAAAAAAATAGGGTTCACAGCCGAATCTAATACAACTTAATCCTATTATAATTTTAAGTTATGCTCCGAAAATGTTTAATACTGTAATTTTATAAAATTTTAGTTATTAATGTTCGAGCCTTCCTTTTGGGCTTACCCAAAAGAGAATAGAGTCTTTCGTGGGCGTGAATATCTGAATAGGACGGATGGCTGAGTAGTTTGCTTTGGAGAATAACTAAATTCTTTAAAAATAATTAAAAAAAACAACTTGACGGCTGAATCCAACTGAAAAATAACGAATTGAGCTGGGTTGGAATGTGAACGGAAATTAAAAAAATAAAAGAAAAATAACAAAAATTGGAAATAAAATCATTAAAATAGGGCAAAATGACAGATTTGATTGTAAAAATAGGGCAAAATAAAGAGCACACCAACTTTCCACTACCCTTGTTAGGATCATTAGGCGCACTTAATATTCATCTCTTATCATTTCTAACTTGACAATTCAATACAAAAATATTGTATGGCGCTAATCAAACCATGTCCTACAAATGTATGGTAGATATCTACTTAGTGGGTTAAAAAGCATACGTGACTCTAAAAATGGACCACCGTGCATATGCCCAGTTCTCATTTATGTACATCTATTAGGTGAAGTTTTAAACCTCTTATACCGAAGATTCAGATAAAAAATTTGAATTTCGACATGCAATGCTTCCAGAATCCCTATTTAAGCTCGCTGCTAGTAAATATTGTCCTCTTAGGCTATCCCTTCCATACTTTTCCTCAAGGCTTTAAAACGGGTGAGATCTCATAATAGAATTGTTTTAAGATAAATACACTTAATTTTGGATTTCATATGATTGATGCACTGAAAAAGAAGGTGCAGCTTATTGGTATAGATAGTAACTATCGTTTTTCTATCACTTTATATCGTCGGAATCATTCTAATACGAAAAGGGGTGGTGCACAAATGTTTTTCCAATTCGTAGTCAAATTTTGTTTGAAAGTTCATAGAAGTAAAAACATTTCCCACACTCACCATAAAAATGGCTCATTGGGCAAATGCCTACCACATCGGTGGAGAAAAGAGGCCATTTTTTAGTGGTTTGTGAGTCCAAGTCAATCACCATTATAAAAGTGTGTGTTCATTTTGCACTCATAAACCCTTTATATATCCTCCTTAATACCTCTCCCATAGCCATTATCCTCCTTCCAAGAACCTTAATTATGCACTTCTTTCTCACCACTGTCCTCTTCCTTAGCCATTGCCTCTATGTATCATCAACAAGATGTCCGCCACCCCTACCGCCGCCGCCACCTCCGCCGCCGCCAGAGTGTCCCCCACCGGAGTCCCCGCCGCCGCCTCCAGAACCTTGCCAATGCCAACCGATCCTCAGTTTCTTAGACCAAAGACTGGCCGTGGTGTACCCCATCATTCAGAGCTTCAAAGCTCTCATCACTTCTGACCCATTTGGCGTCACACAAACATGGGTCGGCTCTGATATCTGCAAATACGAAGGCTTCTTCTGTGACAATCCGCCCGATAACAAATCAGCTCTCGCCGTGGCAGCCATTGATTTCAATGGCTTCCAACTCTCCGCCCCCACGCTCGATGGCTTCATCGACGCCCTCCCGGACCTTGCCATCTTCCATGCCAACTCCAACAACTTCTCCGGTACAATCACCCCCAAAATTGCATCACTCCCATATCTCTACGAGCTTGATTTAAGCAACAATCAACTGTCGGGTCCTTTCCCGACCGCCGTTTTGGGTGTCACTGATCTGTTCTTCTTCGATATCCGATTCAATTTCTTCACTGGGTCTGTTCCTCAGCAGGTCTTCGTAAAGAATTTCGACTTCCTGTTCATCAACAACAACAATTTCGGTATGAGATTACCCACAAACTTCGGTTCAACAACCGCTGCTTATATCACTTTAGCTAACAACAAATTCACTGGTCCAATTCCAAGAAGCATTGGAAAGGCTGCTGCTAGTTTAACTGAAATCTTGTTCCTCAACAATCAGCTCACTGGGTGTATTCCATATGAAGTGGGGTTCTTGAAAACAGCGACCGTTTTCGACGCCGGCGAGAACTCGCTGACCGGCCCGTTGCCTAGCTCACTCGGCTGCCTGGAGAAGGTTGAGCAGCTGAACTTTGCCGGAAACTTCCTCTACGGTCAGGTGCCGGAGGTGGTATGTGAACTGGGGAATTTGCTAAATCTGTCGCTGTCGGATAATTACTTCACCAAAATTGGGCCATCTTGTAGGAAACTGGTGCGAAGTGGGGTTCTTGATTTGAGAAAAAACTGCATACGGGAGCTGCCTGATCAGAAATCGCCGATGGAATGCTTCCTGTCCTGTTTGTTTCGACATCCTTGTCCATTTCCAGCAACTTATGGCTTTGTTCCTTGTAATAAATCTGCAAGTATCCTCCATTCTTCTGGCTCTGGCCGACAGAGAAGAAGCTCTGTTCCCATTGACAATGGTGGTCTTTCCACTAAAAAACCTTAACTATAAGTGTTTGTGTGTGTTTATGTCTGATTAATAATCATTATAGATATTTAACACTAACAACATCCGTGCCTGAGAGGCGAACAGCTTCGTCGTGTCTGCGAACGCCGTCGCCATCACCGTTGACCAGCGGCGGCACTCATATTTAATCGCCTCTTTCGAATATTTTAAATTTTTTTTAAAATATTCCATTGATTTTTATTTTTGCAGAATAATTCCATGATGATAACTCAACTTAAGTGGAATGAATTTTATACGACAAAGAGACCCATCAAATATAAAAAATAGGGTTTTCTTTTTTGCAAGGATATAAAAAATTTACTTTTATCTTGTCATTTTAAAATTTTAATTTCGCTTGAAATTATTTTAGATTAATTTCAGTTTCGTCTCTATTTTGCATACTTAAAGTTCATATGCATAGGAAAATCAAAATCACTACCAAGAGTAAGATTTGGATTACCTTATTGATCGAATATCTCAAGACAAGAACATCGTTTGAGATTCGAATCACTCCATAAACAAGTTCATTCATGTCTAGCTTGAATGATTCTTGTTGATCAAATATCTCAACGCAGAAACATTTGTTTGAGATTCGAATCACTCCACAAGGAGGAGTAAGATTCGAAATACCTTGTTGATCGAATATCTCAAGACAAGAACATTGTTTGAGATTCGAATCACTCCACAAGTAAATTCGATCATGTCTAACTTGAATGATTCTTGTTGATCAAATATCTCAACGCAAAAACACTTCTTTGAGATTTGAATCACTCCACAAGCAAGATTGATCATGTCAAACTTGAATGATTCTACATGCAACCTAAACTACATAGAATTGCAAAGAAATTTAGCAATTGGTTAAAGCACGAATGATCATTTTACTATATTTTCCAAGTCTCCTTACAAATACAACATGCATAGCCTCAAAATGAAACTATTAAAGGCATGTAACCTTGATACTTAATGGTCATAATTATCCTTTATGTCATTGTATAAAAAGTCCTAAAATATTTTAATGAAATACAATAACTTTAAATTACTCCAAATTGTAATTCACCCAAAATTTATAACATGAAACTTCATTCTTCTTCAAAGTAGCATGAATTGAAATATCTTTTGCTAATTTCAACAATATTTTCTTCACATCTTCGTTGAAGTATATTGTATGATTAATGTCTCTTGGTTCATATAGAATAATTTATTTTGCATACTTAAAGTTCAAATCTTCAAAATTCAGCCGATATAAACATGAACTTCAAAACTCGATTGACATGAACATAGTTTATTTAGTTTAAAGAAATATTCTCGATCAAAAGGTTACGGGAAAATCTCACAAGATCCTTCCTAATGAAGTAGAAAAATACTCACTAATTATATTCAAAATGTTTAGGGAAATTTAAACAATAATATGACTAACTCAATAGAGAAATCATACAGTGGACTGACCTGAAATGCTGGGATACCTAAATGTTGCAATAGACCAACATTTCTCAGTTAGGAAACTGGGAAGAAGAATCTTAGAACAACAATAAACTTCCCTTTAAAGCAAACTATTATATATATACTATATTCAAGATCTACAAATCAATGCTAAGCTTTTGAATAGCATGTTTACCTTACCACAGAGCGACACCAGCCAACCAGCCAACGTTCCCAGAATTATGTCGAACTTTCAGCAGCACGTTTTATCTGCAACGCAGCTCTAACGACATTTCCCCTAGTAATGATCCCCACCTTTAACATTCAAACACAAGCAACTGAGATGGTTGCCTATTACCGAGGGAGCTTTAAGAAGTTAAGATGGTTTAAAGAAAAATTCCTACCAGCTTGCCATCTGCATCTACTACCGGCAATCGACGATATTTTGTTTCAAGCAACAACCTAAACAATCGATAGTTTCAGACTTCGGTAGCCACAGATTAACTTATAAAAATGGGTAAATTCTTGATTCTGCAGTCTTTTCTCCCTAAAATGTGTCATCTCAGCGTTGTTTTTTTTGGAAATTGGAAGCTTTTTGCACAGCTTATGTACACAGAATGAAAAAGTTTGAAAAAGAACGAACAAAAGTTTGAAACAGAACGAACTACAGAGGAGAATAACATGGACACCCGCACATCAAAATCTCTAAGAAGTAGCAGTTGCAAAAAAGGAGAATAAAAAACTAGTCTTTTTTTCTAAGAATATAAACAGTCTAATTAAATGAAATTGCCTACTTAAAAAGAAAATTTGATTAAATGTTTAGGTTGAAACATTGAAGAAACCATGGATTATATAGATTCAGATAGTATAACAATGCAGAAGAGAGAGAAATAAAAGGATTACCTGGCAGCATCTTCTAAATTTGAAGTTTCACGAACAACTAGCGGAGCAGGCGTCATCAGGTCGCCAACAACTTTACCATTTGTTTTACAGAGAAGTTTCTGCAACTCATTGAATGTCTGCCACCATATTCAGCAAAAATATACTTTCATCATTTTTTTTAATTTAAAAACAGTGGTGATCATGACTCTATTCTTCCTCCAATGAATTTTAAGGAATAAAGGGATGCCAATAACAGAGCTAAATTCAACGAGTCTTCTTTCTCTGTATAATTTTACTTAGTCAAGGGATGTCAATGGCAGAGCTAATTCCTGAGACTCCTCTTTCTCCGAAAGATGTTACTTAAACAAAGGATCTCAACATACCGAATTAGTAATCCAAGGATCAATCGAACAATATTTTCGAGTAAAAAATAAATACTAAAAAAAATCTTTCTGATAATTTGGGTTCAAATAGCTGAAACCCAACCCAACCAATTTGGTTGATTGATTGAGTTTTCTGAGTAATTGTCTTCTTAAACATCACTCATGTTTGCCAAACAAGAAAAAAAAAAGCAAATAACCAGAAAGTAAATGACATTGCTTACATACTTTCCACGAACTATCCACATCAGGAAACAGATTGGTATCGCTTTGAGTACCACCTAATTGTCAATAACAGGGGGGAAAGATTAAGAGAAGCAATGGAATAATGGAACACAATAAAATATAAAGAAAATGTAATTTTGCCTTCAGAGTCCAGCAAGGGAGAGTGAGCTAAACAACTTCTAATGACTATTTTTCCTACTTTTAAACTTGTCTAAAAGTTCAAAAATATTTTGGAAAAGTTGTTGCTAGACAAAAATAACATTATCAAACAAGAACATAATCGATAACATGCAAACAGTAAAACATGTTGTCACTTGTCCACCTTTGCATCAAAATAGAGTTTGATGAATCAACTCAATCAACGGTAAAAAAAGTTTAATTGATGTTTATATCCTGTCCACATAGCAAATATTCATTCTAAATGTTTCAATGCATATGACTGGGAAATGTTTGGTCTCTAGAAAACAAAAATGATTTGAAGGAAGATTCTTGGGAATCAAAATAAGAATAAAAAAAGTATTAGTAATCAACAAATAAGAAAGGATAGAAACCCGATTTCAGTCGGAAAGCATACAAGAACGATTCCTCAAGTATTAGTGATTTAAGTTGAAATACCTGAAATGGAATCAAGTGCTAATAAGTCATAATCTGAGATGACTCCGACCTGCCACAGCAAAGCACTAAATCAAATTATTGAGTACAGCAGGTAATTGGATTCAATAGTAGTTTGGATTGTTGACAACAAGTAATCTAAACGTTGGTGGACTAACTTCCTGACATGGCTTAAGGGTAACCCTTCGACCATAGATGCACATTCACCACAACTCCACAAAAACGAAATGAAAAATGACCGTACAATGTTGATATTTTTTGCAAGATTCTCAGTGACAACAAACCGAAGGCCCCTTCCCCAGTAACCTCCACAAGAACATCAACGGACTTTGGTAATTCACTCCCACAGTATGTTGGCAATGGCAATATAAAAACACTCACGGGAAGCACAAAAGGGTGAAAGGAAAAACTCTACCAAATTCCAATCTTCATCAACAACAGGAAAACCAGTTATTCTCTTCTCCACCAAGGCCTCTAATGCTGTAATCACAAAAGCCGATGAATTAAACAATTATCATTAGTAACACTAATGAAAATAATTAAAATTAAAGCACTAAATCAACCGCACCTTCATCAGCTGTTGTTGTAGGCTTAACAACATAAAGATTCTCCTTTCTCGTCATAAAATCACCAACCGTATACGTTCCTCTGATCTGAAATCACCGTGATAAGAGCTAAATACGGACGGCCAAGCAGTCAAACGGAAGTATAAAACAGAAGGCCTAAAATAGCCATAGACAAGTTAATTCCCCAAAATCCTCGTCTCTAAAACAAAATATATAAATAAACATGACATATATATTGTTAATAAGTATTTTCGAGGCGTCTGCTTTGGTTCTATTTTCCATTCTAAAATTGTGCAGCATACTCGTAGACGGTGCTGATTATTTCCCTTCGATGAATCGTCAACAAGCAGAAGCGTAATCTCATTTCTTCACAGCCGAAATGGCAGCATATTTCTGCGGTTATTTTCATACGTGTTCATGCAGAACAAACATAGAAATCTTAATTAAGCGACATTAAACCAGCACATAGAGTCCAGTTTTCAGTAGATAACCTAAAGACAGTAACGTAAACGTGAAGATGAATAGAACAAATGCAGCCAAAAGAACGTGGAAAAGAAATGACAAACCGGAAAGGAGCCGACGACGCTAGCTCCAGAAGAGGCAAGAACCAACGGCAAGGGAGGTCGAGTGGAATATCGATCGGAGATCCCAAACCGCTGCAGCTTAAAAAGAGAATTAGACGAAGGCAGAGACTGGCGACGGCATGGATGCAGCTGAGAGTGGCAAAGATGATGAGGATAAGCCCGCGGCAGAGCATGTGAATTGGAGAGCGAGATGGAGCTCATTTTGCTTGGTGCTTGACGAGTAGCTGAGAATTCCACAGATGGAGAACCGATTACAATACTCTGGGAAGAGAATAGTTGGAAGAATCAATGGCTGATCTACCGGACGGAAGAAAATTACAACCGGAAATCTTCGAAATCAAAGAGGAATCGGAAAATTAGGTTGTAATTGACTTCCGTTCCGTGCAAGGAAAGGAAGCGACACTTTCCCAATCAAACGCGGGTTAAATGGAGAGAGGAAAATCCCGCCTGGTCGGTCGGAGATATTCAACAACGTTCATGACTTTAATCAATGAGCGGACATACAATTGTGAGATGTTGGACTCCAAAATTAATAGTAAAATAATAATTATGTATAAATTATCAAAAATATCATTTTAATTATTGAAATTTTTAGTAGCAAATTCCCGCTCTGAAATAACTTCAGATGTTAGGTATAATCGAAGCGGTAATAGCTCAAGCTCACCAATAATAGATATTATCTTTTTTGGAGCGATTACAACCTAAATCCAACCTAAACCCATCGCTAGGACAATATCTATTAGCAATGGGCTTGAGCTGTTACAAATTGTATCAAAGTTAGACATCAAGCTGTGTGCCAGGACGTTAGCCTCGAAAGGGTGGAATGTGAGATCTCACATCGGTTAGAGAGAGGAACAAAACATTATTTATAAGTATGTGGAAACCTCTCTCTAACATGTGTAAAAACTTTGAAGGGAAAGTTTGAAAGACAGAGCAAAATAGAATAATATCCGATCTAAATTGGCTTTGGCCCTTATGTTATATATATAATTTTATATTATTATTTTTTTACAATTTACCCTAATAATAACATAATATAAAAATTACACATTTTTTATTCGATGAAAAATAAACTTCGGCGTGATTTTTTTTTTAATAATTCAACATCAAATAAATAAAATGTTGTTTGGTACAACTTGTCGTAAATATTTGACTAAAAAATGTACACGTTTATTCATACTTCATGATACTCAAGTGTTTTCTTTTTTAATTTGATTTGATATCATATGGTTTAAAATATTTAAGAATATAATTTTCAAACTTTAGTTTAAAAAATATGTACCTTGAGTGCAAGTTTAAACTTTGAATCTAATTCCAAACATGATATTGACTTCTTAAATTAAGCCTCCTAAAATTCTATAAAACGTTTTCTAAGAGACTGTGAGATGTAATAATTGTTTTTTATTGTAAATGTGTGAAAATCTCTCCCTAATAGATATATTTTAAAAATATGAGGCTACCGACCATAAATAATAAATTAAAATAAACAATATCTGCTACTGAAGGTCTTGGACTGTTGCACCTTTAGATCTTAATAGACAACCCGAAAAATACCAAGCTAATCTCTAGATAAAATTGATAAATAAATTTAAACGAAGAAAATCAATTGAGACGGTTTATTAATAATTTATAACTATTTTCATTTTATTTAATTTACCATGTAATTACTTAATGACACGTGTAAAAGTTATGCAAATAATATTATTAAAATGCCTAAATAAATTTTAAGCTCATGTGAAAATGGATGATTTTAAAATAAAATTTTAAAAATTGATTTGAAATTACTGAATTTAATTTTATTGTCCTGGTTGACTAAACAAATACCCACGTGTCATCGTTTCATTGGTGGAAATGGAGTGGGGTAGGGCATTTATTTATTTATTATATATATAATTCAAATTTTCCGACCAAGATTTTTAAATTAGGATTTTAATTATATATATATATATATTAACGGATGGACTTGAGCTTTGAGTTTGGACTAATTTAGAACTAAAAACAGTTTGGACTAATTTAGGAGTTTTTGACTTATCTATTTATAGATAATTATTGGACAAAATAAATTGTTTTATCAAACAATATTTCTTATTTATTTATTTATTTACTAATAATTATCGTAGAAATCGGACAGTTGCAAAACCATTGACAATAATAATAATAATAATAATAATAATAATAAGAAGAAGCTGTTTTTTTAAATAAAAAAATTAAATTACTTTTTGGTCCTTATATTTTGGATTTATTTAAATTTTAGTCTACTTTTTAATTTTAAAATATTAATAATAAGAGAATGTTAATATATTTTAAAGAAAGAAAAAACAATATTAACAGATTTTTAAAAATAAGTTTTGAATTTGAATCTCTATTTTTGCTGAGACCGTCACTGTCAACTGAAAAACGTTACCGTTACCGGTTACCTACGGATTCCCGACTTGACCTCGTCAGATGGGCCCTCAGATCTTTGAGATGGACGGTTGAGATTTCGTGTATAGATTTTATCTCTAGGGTTTACCTGGAACTGCCCATATATATAAAGCCTTGCGCCTTCACGCTCTTCCTCTTTCTTTTAGTGCAGTTTCATCTGCCCTCCAAAACTTCGCCTTTTTATTACCGTCGTTGTCTACGTCGCTCTCTACGTCACGCGCCGCCCCGGTTTCCGGCGGCTAGTCATCTCTTCTTTCGGATCCTTCCGATTATCTATCCGGTCCTCGTCCTTCCCTCTCCTTTTTCCACTATCATTCTCATCCTGAAAAACCAAAACTATTATTCGTTTTAGGAGTAGGAAGATTTTTCGTTGGGGGTTGTTAATTTTTGGTTCAATTTCTAATATCGTAAGGGTTTTTGTTGTCCTCCCCGGTTGTTCATTGCGTTTTGCTGGCCTTTTTTGAGTGTCTAAAGAATCGCCGTTTATTGATTCCTTCTTAGGGTTCGTTTCTGAATAACAAAAGGAGAGGGAAGTGAGGGGAAAAAAAGGCAAAAAAATTAATTTATTGAAAGATTTTTTTTGGAAAGTAGTGAAATCATTTCGAGTATGGCGGCTCAGGTGCAATCTCAGTCTCAGAATGCTATTTCCGGCATCAATCCAGCGGCGAATGGTGGTGCCAATTTTGTGACTACTTCTTTGTACGTCGGAGATCTGGACCTCAACGTCACGGATTCGCAGCTTTATGATATATTTAATCAGGTGGGTCAGGTGGTTTCGGTTCGCGTTTGCCGAGACTTGACGACCCGACGATCTCTTGGTTATGGTTATGTCAACTACAGCAACCCACAAGATGGTTAGTATGCCCTCTCTTTTCTTTGCTTCTCTCCGGTGTTTAATGTACTTTGTTTATTGTTGTTAGTTCAATTTCGGTGGTGCACATTTCTTAGCCGGTTGACTGATTGCTTAGACTGGTTAAATGCTGAGATTATGTTAAATATTAGGGTGGATCATGTCTATTAATTCATTCATGTATGAAGATAATTGAGCCCCACCGATTCCGGAAAGAAGAGCGTTTAGCAATCTGGTGTAAGTGGGGAAAATTAGTGACGCTATAGGGGATAACTGTTCTAAAAGGTTGGGCAGATGGTTTGGGGTTGGGGCTCTAACGAATAATTTTTGCTGTCTGATGGTCATTTCTCAATACAAGACATGGAGAAAACCTGGTCATTTTATTATTTGGAGAACTGGATCATGGGCCCGTTTGGTGGGCTGGGAGATGGTGAGGGTCATCTTATTGCATTATGATGTTTCACGGTTATGAAGTTCGTCTATTTGGAAGATGATCAAGGAAAATGTGTAATGGATACGCCTCATGTTCTATAGATATGGCTTTTGGTTATAACGATTTTATTAATATAGCAAGAACAGGGATGATCTTAAGCTAGCCTTGTGTAGCGTGCATATTTTAAGTTGATTTCTGGTTTCACTCTTGGGCTAAGTGATTGCATGTCCTTCATTGAAGCAAACGATCCATGTCAAAATCAATTTGAATTTTTTATTACGCTTCACCTCTAGCAATTTTGCTTAATTTTGGCAAGCTTGTTGTAAAGTTTTCAACAGGTAAGTTTGTGCTTTGAATTATTTAAGCTTTTTTCACTGTTGGAATTAGTGATTTTAGGACTTTTGATCCCTGTCCTCTCTTGTCATTTGAAAAGAAAAATTGTATTTCAGGCTATCATGTGGTCCAAACAATGATATCACAGTCATTATTGCTTCAGATTCTTATATCTGATCTTATACCTCAATGAACTTTAAATGGCCACATCTTTCTTCCTAATACAATCATCTTTTTCCTGAACAGCTGCAAGAGCATTGGATGTGCTGAATTTTACCCCTCTTAATGGAAAGCCTATAAGAGTTATGTATTCTCACCGTGACCCAAGCATTCGCAAAAGTGGGGCAGGAAATATATTTATCAAGGTATCAGTATTTTTCATATTTTATGTGCTTGTATCTTGTTCATTTTGTTCAAGTTGATTATTTGATTCTGTTCCCAAGTTAATTTTGCATTTTAATTTTTTCAGAATTTAGACAAAGCAATTGACCACAAAGCTCTGCATGATACGTTTTCTGCATTTGGTAGTATCCTGTCCTGCAAAGTGGCTTTAGATTCCTCTGGCCAGTCAAAAGGCTATGGTTTTGTGCAATTTGACAATGAGGAGTCTGGTCAGAAAGCAATTGAGAAGCTGAACGGCATGCTGTTGAATGATAAGCAAGTTTATGTAGGACCTTTTCTTCGTAAGCAAGAAAGAGACGGCGTTGTTGACAAGTCAAAATTTAACAACGTTTTTGTAAAGAATTTTTCTGAGACAACCTCTGAAGAAGAATTGAATGATGTTTTTTCTGAATTTGGGACAATCACCAGTATTGTTGTGATGAGGGATGCTGATGGGAAATCAAAATGCTTTGGATTTGTGAATTTTGAAAGTGTCGATGATGCTGCTAGAGCAGTTGATGCCCTTAATGGAAAGTTAGTTGATGATAAGGAGTGGTATGTTGGGAAAGCCCAGAAAAAATCTGAAAGAGAAGTTGAATTAAAGAACCGGTTTGAACAAACTATGAAGGAGGCAGCTGACAAGTACCAGGGGGCGAACTTATACATTAAAAATTTGGATGATAGCATTGTTGATGATAAGCTTAAGGAGCTGTTTGCTTCATTTGGCACAATCACATCATGCAAGGTTATAATTTAATTTTTATTCAAGTGTAATTCTCTACATGTTTAGGCCTTTCACGGTTAAAAGTATTATGGTTATATTGTGTAATTCAGGTCATGCGCGACCCCAATGGTATAAGCAGAGGATCTGGATTTGTTGCATTCTCAACACCCGAAGAGGCTTCTAGGGCTGTGAGTGGATGTGCTTATTTCTTTTCCCTTCTATATATGAATTGTTTTCAATTCAGAAACATCCCTACACAAAATTGATGTAATAGCTGTTTATTTTCTGTATATGCCTGTTATTAATAATACAAAATATGGAAGAAATGTAATGGTTCACTGGTGTAATTGATAGCTTATGGAGATGAATGGAAAAATGGTTGTTAGCAAACCGTTGTATGTAGCACTTGCACAGCGGAAGGAAGATAGAAGAGCCAGATTGCAGGTACTTCCTCTTGCATTTTCGTACTTATACATGGCATTGCTACTGTAACTTCGTTTGTCAGGATTTGGTGTTGGGGTTAGATAACTTTCTAATGGTTGCTTCCCTTTTTTTTTTTTTTGTCGAACATTATGACTTAATGGCTTTGACTATGTTCTATAGGCTCAATTCTCTCAAATACGGCCAGTTTCGATGGCTGCTTCAGTTGCCCCTCGGATGCCAATGTATCCCCCGGGTGGTCCAGGTATTGGACAGCAGTTGTTTTATGGTCAAGGTCCTCCTGCAATGATTCCTTCCCAAGTAACTACTTTCACCAATTCCATATTCTCTCTCTTTGTTCTTGCACCAAATGAGTGGTCAATTGTGTTGAAGTTCTTACTACTCGTGCATTCTCGACTTTGTCCGTCTATCTTGCCTCCTGGAAGGCGTGGTGTGCATGAGATTATGAGAGCGACATTCTGAATTATTGTTTTGTTTGTTTTATGGGTTTGATTTTTCCAGGGCGGTTTTGGTTATCAGCAGCAGCTTGTCCCTGGTATAAGGCCTGGTGGAGGTCCAATGCCGAATTTCTTTGTCCCAATGGTTCAGCAGGGCCAGCAAGGCCAGCGCCCTGGTGGCAGACGTGCAGGAGCTGTCCAGCAAAACCAGCAGCCTGTTCCAATGATGCAACAACAGGTTGGTGAATTTTTCTATCCTTTGTTTTTTCTTCCTCGTGTTACTTAAATGGCGGTTTTGGTTGGGTCATTGGATGATAGATGTTGCCTAGAGGAGGGCGTGTCTACCGCTATCCCCCAGGAAGAGGTATGCCTGATGTTCCTATGCCTGGTGTTGCTGGAGGCATGTTTTCTGTTCCATATGAAATGGGAGGCATGCCAATGCCATTGCGTGATGCGGCACATTCTCAACCCATCCCTATAGGTGCTCTGGCTTCTGCTCTCGCAAATGCTACTCCAGACCAACAGAGAACGGTAAGCATTTTCTACATTATAAACGTAGGAGGAGGGTTTGTATGTCAAATACTTCCTGCAAAGCATGTACAAAACACCTTAGATCTCTGAATTATATTGTTGTCTTGAATTTTTGAACATGTAGATGCTGGGGGAGAATCTGTACCCGCTCGTGGAACAGTTGGAGCCCGACAACGCAGCTAAGGTAACTGGAATGCTTCTGGAGATGGACCAGACTGAGGTTTTGCATTTACTCGAGTCCCCAGAGGCTTTGAAGGCGAAAGTAGCCGAGGCTATGGAGGTTTTGAGGAATGTAGCTGCAGCCCAGCAGCAGCAAGCTGGGAACGCAGCTGATCAACTCGCCTCTCTGTCGCTGACCGAGAACCTCGTGTCGTGAGCTTTGCTTGTGTTCATAAAGCTTCCTGGGATGATGCACGAAATGATGATACGTGTAGTAGTTGTGTGATACAATTGACTGTTTGTTTATTTGCTTTTATCTCCTGAAGACTGCTGACATTTTCTTTGTTTTTTTTTCAGTTTTTGGTTCGTAGTTCTGCTTCTCTAGTGATACTCTGTTTCCTTAGGAAGAAGCTTTTTTTTTTCTTTCTTTTTCATCTTTTTTTGACATTAATCCAAGGTACTCCTACTATCTTCTGGTATATCTTATGGTGTCTCCTGAGTGGCATAAATGTTGCCGGGGCCAAAGAAATTGGGACGTTATTTTCTCGAGTTAGGTTGTGTTTGGAATAACTCTTAAAATAAACGTCTTGGATCGAAAAAAAAGTGTTTTAAAGTTTGCTTAATTTGGAAGATGACCTTATAGTACTTGAAATCAAAATAGCCAAAACTATCATGTCTAATTAGCTTTTGATGATATTAGCTTTTGATGGAAGTCCCACATCGTGGGTTTATAAACAAAGAATCTCGGCGTGAGACGTTTTGGAGAAGCCCAAAGTAAAGCCGTGAGAGCTTGTGCTCAAAGTGAACAATATCATACTATTGTGGAGAGTCGTGTTCAATTAACCCAAAGTAAAGCCATGAGAGCTTGTGCTCAAAGTGGACAATATCATACCATTGTGGAGGGTCGTGTTCAACTAACCTTCCCCCTACCGAAAGTTATATACTGTGAGCCGTTGTTATTTTCTTGTTTGCATATATAACGTGACCTTCTTCTTAAATCCGAGGGCAGAGGCTTGAGCATACGTTGCTTGACTTGGCCGTAGTAAGAACGAACCTTCCTCCTACCAAAAGTTATATACTGTGAGTCGTTGTTGTTATTCTCTTGCTTGCGTATATAACGTGACCTTCTTCTTAAATCCGAGGCTAGAGGCTTGAGCATACGTCGCTTTGACTTGGCAGAACGAATTGAATTAGCTCAGGAATTTGTGGTTGGGACTGAATGTGGTTCTTTAATACATGTGTTTTATTTATCCACTTTACCCAATATTTCACTTAAATTTGATTTTTATTAATTAAATTTAATCTATCAAATTAATAAACATATGAACTATTCAATTAAAATAGTTAAACATTTATTAATGAGCAAAAAGTTAGATTCAAAATTATGTTGTTGAACTAAACCGATGTAAAAATAATTTAATAGATTAATAATAATAAGGAAAAATTAAAAAAAAAACAACTAAATTAAATTGAAACATACTAAAAACCTTGAAATTATGAAGCCAAATAATAATAATAATAATAATAATATGAAAATAAGCACAATTAATATTAACAAATTTGTTTAGTTAATATAATTATGTAAATAATTAAGTCACTAATTAACATTTCAATTTTTTATTTTTTGACTTTTGAAAAATCTGTATAAAATGTATAATTTTGGAAGTAATTTGTTAAAGAAACCAAACGGTGCGTTTTGAGTGTTTGGGAATTGGGTTTTGTATGTAATTTATTGATGAACTGATGGCATTTTTTCGCTACTCCAAAACCCTAAGAAACAAGTCGTATAAATACCTGCAGTAGGTTTCGCCCCACGCCTGCCCGATCTGATTACAATTTGGGGCCTTCACTCCGGTAGTCCTCTCAAGCCCTAGCAATGGCGGCTTCGATCGAATCGGTGCAGTGTTTCGGACGCAAGAAGACGGCAGTAGCCGTTACCTACTGCAAGCGCGGCAGAGGTTTGATCAAGATCAATGGCTGTCCAATCGAACTGGTTGAGCCAGAGATCTTGCGCTTTAAGGCCTACGAGCCCATCCTCCTCCTTGGACGTCACCGTTTCTCTGGTGTCGATATGCGCATCAGAGTGAAGGGTGGAGGTCACACCTCGCAGATCTACGCCATCCGACAGAGCATTGCCAAGGCTCTTGTTGCGTTCTACCAGAAATACGTGGACGAGCAGAGCAAAAAGGAGATTAAAGACATTCTCGTCAGGTATGATAGGACTTTGCTTGTTGCCGATCCTAGGCGCTGTGAGCCCAAGAAGTTTGGTGGTCGTGGTGCTCGTGCTAGGTTCCAGAAATCATATCGTTGATCGGAAAGTACTAGGCAACTATGAACGAGAGTCGTTAATCGGTAACGATAATCTGTTTTGGTTTCTGAGTTCACATAGATTCGAAGACTTCAAATTATGGTTCAGTTTATGCTCTAGTATAAGTAGTTGGAACTGTAAGACTTTTGTTTCCGTCGATATTACGATAATTGCAACCCAAATGCTTTTTGAAACATCTCAATTCTTCTGCCAATTATTTCTGTTTGTGTTAAGAGTATCTTATGCGATAAATTTTCGTTGAATATGATCATCTAGCTAATGAACGTCTTGTTATTTGGTTGAAATCGTTGTTAAGACTTACGAGTGCCCTGAAATATTATGATTTGGGGTTTATTTCAATCGAACAATTTTCTATGCTGAATCTTCATTCTTTCTGAGCTGTCGTTAAGCCATTTCTTCTTCAGTTACTTGATTTCTATTTAAACCTCCATCATAGATAATAGAAATAAGATTCGAAGATGACTTATGGGTTATTTTGTGCAGTTCAGGATCAAGAAGTTAAACTTGTTTAGTATGTAGTTTGTTTATTTTAGGATTTATAAGAACTCATTCTTTTACCTGATACAAATAGTATAGTCGGTATGAAATTTTCTAGAACAGAATGAACTTAGTACTTGCTCTTTCCTTTTCTCCATGTATATCATTTCAAGAGGTTCTAATTTTTGTTGCTTGTATGTAGTTAATTGTGGGCTTGGATTTTGTAAAACTTAGTATCTAGTTAAATAGGGAGGTTTAAGGCATGTACCTTTTAGGATGAGCAAATCTACATGCTTAATGTTTGAGGCCTTTCAACTCCAAGCCTGTCGACCGTGACCGTGACCCATCGATGTATTTTCTTTTGCAATTTGATAATTTATTAGCCTACATTGATGATTGAAACAAGAATAATATAAGTTATATCTTAGGCTTGATCGATGATTGTGACAAGAATAATGCAAATTTTATTCTAGTAATGTTATGAAATTTTATGTTATTTGACTCTGTTTAACTGGTTACAGTGGGGAGTGTAGATTTTTGAATTGAGATAATTACGTGCACGAGACTAGTTACTAAGGTGGTTGAATCATAGGAATTCCTTGGTAAATGAATTCTATGTCACTTTTTAGGCATTTTTCTTTGGATACATGTGAGGAACAAAATATGTTTGGAGGACCCGTGTTGGTTTGCGGGAATAGTTTTACTCTTAAGAAGTGAGGAGTAGGGGAATGTCGGGAGCCGAATTCTAAATCCCAATCAACCGGGACATGGCTTCAAATAATTGAATTTTAAATTACATCACGTGCGCGTTTGGACTTGGCACGTGAGCGGGTATACCAATTTTCAAAAATGTTGACTTGGGGAGAGAGAAGAAGAAGAAGCTGAGAGTTAAAGAGAAAAACAAGGAAAAACTAATAATAGCATAACTTTTTGTGAGCAAGTTAATAATAAATTGACGGTATTTAATATTTTATGCTTACGTGGAATTTCAAAAATAGAAAAAGAAAAGAAATTAAGACTCCTATTAATATGTTTGGCTTTGGAACACAAGCTTCCGTTGAGAAAAAAAGGTGCTGAATGTGAGGTCTCAAATGTGGCGGCCCTCTACCAATTTGCAGAGCCCCCGTCGGAACTCATCGATCTCTCCTCCTGCAGGCAACAATCTATGTAAGTCCTCCTTCGTCTTCCTGTGAACGTATTTCGATGGCCACTACTGATAAGCAGAAAGAAGATGGGAAACCAAAGAAGAAATGCCATCGAAGAAACTTGCAGATTGAGGAATTCCCCACATTCACCAAATGGTTAGGGCCACGCGGTCGTTCAAGTTCCCGCGACGATACCAGTTCCAAATCTTATAAGCGAGGTGTTCCCTATCCCCCTGTTAGGAGGATACCTCGAGATTCGTCGAGTGGAGGTGGTGGGGTAGTTGCCTGCGATGTTTCCAAGGAAGACGGAGGAGTGGCTATAGGTGAGTCGATATCTGCGCGAGGGGGTTGCTGCTGTTGGCAACGCTCCAAATCTACTCAGCGGGAGTGTGGACTCAACTTCCATTTCTCTCTGAGGAAGAGCAAGGTTGTTACCAATGTTTCAGAGGGTGTCGCTGCTGGCGTTTCTGATGTTCGGGAGGAGCAGGTCGTGGAAGCGGGTGCTGTTATAAATAGGGAGGGGTGTGGTTGTAGATGTTCCCCAACGTTCCACATCTGCGGGAGGAGGAAGGTACCGCCCACCGGAGTTTCATACTTGCCTGAAAAGAGGAGTGGCCGTCGAAAGTCCAGATCTATTAGACGACGAGGCTTACCGGTCGTTGACGCTCCAAATCTTCACAAAGAAGAGGGACCGGCAACGGACGGCCCTGATGTGCTCAAGGAGGAAGTGGCTACTAGTTGTCCAGATTTGGTGAAGGAAGGAGAGGCCATCGCTGCTCCAGGTCCGTGCAAGGAGGGGAGTAGATCTTGTTGTTCACAATGGAAATGTTTACCGTCGTTTCCAATGTGTGGGAGGAAACTATCTGTCGTCGAGGAAGAGGTGACTATCGAGGAAGAGGTGAGTGTGTATGATCCAAATGGGCCGGAGGTTGAAGAAGTCGCTAATGGTCCAGAATCAGTGAAGGAAGGGGAGGCCACCATTGCTCCAGCTCCGTGCAAGGAGGGGAGTGAATCCTGTTCACAATGGAAATGTTCGCCGTCGATTCCGATGTGCGAGAGGAAAGTGGCTACCGGCGAGGAAGAGTTAACTGTTGTCAATGTTCCAAATTTGCTGGACGTAGAAGTCGCTAATGGTCCAGAATTAGTGCAGGAAGGAGAGGCCACCGATGCTCCATCTCTGTGCAAGAGGAGTGGATCCTGTTGTTCACAATGGAAATGTTTGCCGGCGTTTCCAATGTGCGGGAGGAAAGTGGCTACCAGCAAGGTAGAGTTAACTGTCGTCGATATTCCAAATTTGCTGGAGGTTGAAGAAGTCGCTAATGGTCCCGAATTAGTGAAGGAAGGAGTGGCCACCGGTTCTCCAGGTCCGTACAAGAAGAGGAGTGGATCCTGTTGTTCACAATGGAAATGGATGTGCGGGAGGAAAGTGGCTACCGGCAAGGAAGGCAAGGAAGGCAAGGAAGAGTTAACTGACGTCGATGTTCCAAATTTGCTGGAGGTAGAAGAAGTCGCTAATGGTCCAGAATTAGTCAAGGAAGGAGAGGCCACCGTTGCTCCAGGTCCGTGCAAGGAGGAGAGTGGATACTGTTTTCCACAATGGAAATGTTTGCCGTCGTTTCCGACGTGCGGGAGGAAACTGTCCGTCGTTGAGGAAGAGGTGACTGTCGATGATCCAAATGTGCCGGAAGTTGCTAATCGTCCAGATTTGGCCAAGGAAGGAGAGGCCACCGTTGCTCCTGATCCACGCAAGGAGGGGAGTGGTTGCTGTTCTCCACGACTGAAAGATGTGTCGGAGTTTCAGATACGCAATTCGAAAGTGGCTGCCGGCAAACAAGAGATGACCGTTGATGTTCCAAATGTGCTGGAGGTAGAAGAAGTCGCTAATGATGTTGTAAATAAGCAAGACGACATCTGCCCTGAGAAGCAGGAAGTGATAGGTCTGCCGGGGTTTCAGATATGCAGTTCAAAAGTGGCAGCCGGCAAACAAGAGATGACCATCGATGTTCCAAATGTGCCGGAGGTAGAAGAAGTCGCTAATGATGTTGTAAAGAAGCAAGACATCTGCACTGAGAAGAAGGAAGTGAAAGGTTTGCCGGAGTTTCAGGTATGCAGTTCGAAAGTGGCTGCTGGCAAACAAGAAAGGACGGTCGATGTTCCAAATGTGCCGGAGGTAGAAGAAGTCGCTAATGATGTTGTAAAGAAGCAAGACGACATCTACCCTCAGAAGAAGGAAGTGGACGGCGATCCAAATACTGGAGAGGCGGTGGCTTCCTGCAGTTCTTCTTCAAATCTTCACGAGGAGGAGGAGAAGATCAATGCCAGCGTTCCAGAATTGCACAAAAATGGGAGTGGCTGCGGTTGGTTTAAATGGATGCCGTCATTCCTGATTTGCGGAAGTAAGGTGGTTTCCGACGTTCCAAATCCAAGCAGGGAGGAGAAAGTAGTCGCTGGTGATTCAGATATACAGGAGGGAGTAGGCGCTGCGGCTGTGGCTGTGGCTGCCGCTGCCGATTCCGATGCCGATTGGGAAGCGCAATCCAAATCCGCTCGACAGGGAAGTTGTTGGCCATTCCAGTGCTGCACAATATGGTGGCCGTCCAAACTTCTGTGCACGGGGGGGATGGATGTCAATGCCTCAAATCATCAAGAGGAAGAACAAGAGGAACCTCTCAGCGATAACAAGGAGAAGGTTGTTGACGTTCTTACAGTCAAGCACAACGAGAAAGGAGCGGCTATGGGCGTTCCAGATCTTCACGAAGAGGACGGTACAGTTGCCGACAAGCAGGTGGCTGTCGTCGACATTCCGGTTCCCCGTAAGGAAGAGAAGGAGTCTGCCGGTGATACTCTAGATCTTATTCAGAAGGAAAAGAAGGCATCTTCAGGCAAGGAGGAGGAGGAAAATGTGGGCTCTGTGGTTTCAGATTCGGGCAAGGAGGAGGGTGGCTGCTGTTGTAGCTTTAAACATGGGGGAAAGGAGGATGGCTGCTCCCGCCGCGGCAGCGGCAGCGGCCGCCACCGCCGTCAGAGTTCTAATTCTAGGGAAGGATGTTGGCCATTTCAGATCTGTGGGAAAGGGTGGTTAGGGCTACCAACATTCCTCATTTGCGGTAGGAGAAAAAAGTTGTCAGATAGTATTGCATCGGCTGGTAATGGCGTTTCAGTTTCAGACATTAGTAACGTGGTGGTGGCTGTCGCCGGTACTTCCAGCGTATTGGCTGTCGCCGGTACTTCCGGCATATTGGCTACCATCAATAGTTCTAAATCTATGCCTATGCCTATGCCTGGGTGTGGTTGTTGGTACTCCAAACCACCACGGAGGCGGTCGGTATCTATTGATAAGGAGGAAGGTGACAGTCGGTGTTCCAAATCTTCTAAGCGGAGGAGAGGGGGTTCCCGACGATCAGGAAGGAAAGAAAAAGAGGGAAAGGAAAGAAAAAGATAGAGAAACAAATTCTTTTTTTCTTTTTTTTTTTTTTTTTTTTTTT